TCTGATGTGCTTTACAAATATTATCTCATTTTATCTTCGTAAAAACCCTTTTGCTATTATCTCCACGAAACAGATAAGGCACAGAGAGGTTAACTGACTTGGTTCATGATGGGTAGAGTCAAGCTTTTCAGCCAGGCAGTGTGGCTGGTCCTGGGTGTGACTAAGCGTCTCTGCCTAAGGCAGTGTGATGTGATAGAAAGGGGCTGATGAAATCCTTAATCGCGTCCTACCAGCCTGTGATCTTTGCAAGCACACTGATACAGACTAGCTTCAGCATCTTGGTGGCAAGGTTAGCGATAAGGAAGACAGTGTGCCTGGTACATAGTACCGGCCAACATAAGTGGCAGCTATTTCTATAGTTGCTTTCAGATGCATGCAAATAAGGTTTAACACGGAAGTGGCCGGACATCAAAGACTTAGGAAGTGGCTCTCATTTAGTCCAAAGAAATAGCACTGACCGAGGTGGGCTGTCAGTTTGGACATCAGCTCCTTCCTCAGTGTTCGATCCTCGCTTCCACCAATGAAGGCTGTTCACTGTTACAGACAGACAGGCAGAATCAGGAATTCAGATTACAGTCCCACACCTGTCTAAAGGCTGTAGGACCCCGTGCAAGCACAGATGTCCCTTCTGACTCCCAATGCTGTGACTGGGACTTTCTGGCTGTTACTGTATTGAAAGCTTCAGGAACCTCACAGAATTCAGCCTCCCTGAGTCCTGTCTTGGGAGAGTGAGTGGTGCCTGGGGGGCAACTGGTGAGGGCACCTCTAGAATAGACTGCTGTGGGGAGGAAAGAGGCAGGGCTGGATGGAAGGGTCTGAGTCTAACACCCCCTGCACCCCTTCTCTGGGTTTAATGAGCCCCTGAGTTCTGTGAGGGCTGCTTTTCACCACCTTTTATTTGGTCAGACAGGGGGCTCAATAAATCTTTAGTTCTGTGGACTCCCTTCCTAGAATTGTTGAAGGAGAAAGCTTTTTGCAAATGACTGGAAAGCCCTTTGCAAATATAAAGTGCTTATTTAGATGCAAACTAAAAATCCAAGGTGCCTGTGACTCATCTGGTACCTATTGTGCTCTCAGCAAAGACGCGGAGGCTTGCCTGTGTGATGGGTGCCATTTGAGAGCCACTTAAAGAACTCCCTGGTGAATGAATTTGGTTGCATTATTCCTGGGCTCGTCGCAGAGGCCTCTAATTCTCACCACTCGCATCTGATCGTGTCCTCCTTCCCTGACACTTTCTCAGCCCTCTTCCCGAGTTAGTTCTGACCCAGGATGTGGTGGGAGGGGGCTGGCCTGCTGTGGAGGCAAGGAGCCAAGAGGGGTGGGGGCTGGTGCTCACCCACTTTGTTTTTTTAAAAAGAAAAAAAGGCATTAATCCAGGCATCCAGAGCTATGCCTAAGAATCTAATAACAATAGTATTACTTGCTTTCAAAACCCCTTTTATCATTTCTTTTTCTATCCTATCTCTTACTACCCTGTTATTAGAGACCAGGGCTTCATGACCAAAAAATGCTGAATCCATTTGGTCAAGTTTGTCAGACTGGTGACTAGCATTGTGTGAAGACCAAAGGTCTGCATGAATAACTGCATTTTTAATGAATTGACCAGCGATTTGGCATCCCATGAACAGAATTTAATGCTGTGTACTGCAAACTGCTGTGCAGGATAATGGAGACAGCTTTTCCAAGGCCTATTTTCTTTCCTAGAATAGGGAGGAGGCTCCATTTTGAGGCTTGTTGAGGATTGGCTCATACAGAAACACAAGGCAAGAAGAGAAGCTTCCTTCTCCATGGGGGTCTCAGGTGCGCCTTCTCCCTTTGGTTTCAGGCAGTTGAGTGCTATGCCTTCTGGCCTTCTCCTACATGGGATGGTATTAGATCCACTTAGGGTATATACATGTCAGTTGTGTCTGAAGAGATGCAAGTAGATGTGTGAGTTAAGCAAGGCTACTTGCCAGCAAAATGGTGCTCTTGTACAAATTTGCAAAGGGGACCCTCTCCTGGTTGGTGAGTTGCAAAAAAAGCATCCTCTGGAGGCTGAAGCAAGGGGCTATAACTGGCTGATCCCCACATCCTTGTGCTGGTCACACTCTACACAGCCTCATCCTCCGTTCACCCAGTGTCTGAGTGCAAGGGGTGGTTTAGGCACATTCCTAGAGAGCAGAGAGGAGGACTGGAACTCGAGGCCTGGAGGAGGCTGTCCTAGAGCTTCTCCCAGACACCCTTTATGCAAATCTTACCTGGCTCTGTCCAAGGCTGTCCTCCCATTCGCACATGTTTATTTGATAGTGAATATTTGTGATATAAACACTGGCTACTCTCACGCAGGGACCACTGAATTCAGTTTAATATTTTTGGTTCCAAGATCTATGATAGACACAGCAGAGAGAGTCATCATGATAAGGACTAGAACTAGTACTGATTTTGTACGTAACAAAATCAGATGTAGTTCATTACTCCTATAAATGATATGTTCCTGAAGAAATGGACTAAAGGTCCAGAAATCACATAAAAGCCTTAGATTTTCTAAGGAGTTCTGTTCCCAGAGAGCTAAAAATATAAAATCTCCTTCACTTTTTGACAGCTGCATCAAAATGTAATTCACATATTGCACAATTTATCCACTTAAAATATACAATTCAATATTTTCCGGTATATTTACAGAGTTATGTAACCAATCTCTTTTTTTTTTTAAATATACATTCATGATATTAGTTCCAATGTCATGACACATTCTTTAATTTTCCTTCTCAGTCAGAGAGTGAAGCAATGAAAGTCAAAAGAGCATCCACAGTGGCTGGCTGGTTCACAGTGACATTACAGAATAGGGTTTTCAGGTCCCTTTTTTGGTTATCCATTTCAGTACATGAAAGGAAGTTTGGGGTTCCTGTTGGGGGTGGGGGCTAAAGCTGGGTTAAGTGTGAATTTATAAGTGTGGAGAAGTGAAGAGGCCCTGTGTTAAGATCTCTAGCGAAAGATAGACTAGAGGTGCTTGAGAGAGCACTAAGAAAGTTCAGGGGTGACTGGATCAAGCTGTGGAGATTTGGAAGCGTGTCATAGAGGATGGGGCAGGTGCAGTAGACCTGGGAGCATGCAGTGGGGAGAAATGAGAGAGCAAAGGTAGATTGAAGCCCTACTGGGTCACACTTTGGGTAGGTTTAATTTTTACTCCACAGGCTAAGGAGGCACAGAAGGGTTCTGAGAAGGTTTGGGTTTGAGTTTGGGGTGAACCATTCTGAGGGGTAGGGAGGACTAGTTAGAAGATCATGGCAAAATCCAGCTGAGAGGCCATAGGAGCTTAAAATAAGTAGGTGGAGTAAAGAAAGGAAAAATAAAGACAAATTTGGGCAAAAGTTACAAAAATAGAGACTCTAAAAAATGACTGCTTAGATGTGGGACATGAAGAAGAAGGTACAGTCAACCACAACCTTGAGGTTCTGGGAAAATCACAATGCCATTAAGAGGTCCTTGCATTCAAATGGTTTGGTGTGTTGACAGTTTGATGGCTTGTTTTTTTAACATTTTGCAGTGATGTGGTCTGGAACTCAGGGGAAGTACAAGGGTTGAAGCTGAAGATTTGAGGCCACTGGACTTCCTGGTGGCTTAGTGGTTAAAGTCTCATCACTATCAAGCTATTGCCAGACACTGAAGTGTGTGTTTGGTCCCTGGCCAGGGAGGTGACCCACACGGCACAACAGACCTCTTCTCTCTCACCTGCTGCTCCCTTTAGCAGTGTGTATCAGTAGATCTGCCTGTTCTGCTCCCCATTGTCTCTGGTGAATCCTCTCACCCTCCACCCCCCCAACACACACTTCTGGCCTACACCCCAGTTCTTATATGCATGCATAAATAAATACAATAAATCTTTAAAAAAAAAAAAGATTTGAGACCATCTAGGTTGAAACCTAAGATTATAACTAGAAGTCAGATAACCTTGAGTCCAAATCCTGACAGTGTCCCACATTAGCTGTGTGACTTTGGATAAATTCTTTAATTGCTCTAAGGAGTTGGGAATGAAGATACTAATAGACCTAAGTGCTGTTGTGTAGATAAAGTGATAAAGGCATGTCAAAACCTTAGGACAATATGGTAAGTTCTCCATGAATGGTAGATCTTATTTGGGATGACATATTAGGGCTATGGAGTGAGTAGATGAGTGATTTTACTGATAAAATGTAGAAAGAGAAGAGGCAGAATGGAATGGAAGAAAGGAGACCAAGGACTCTGGAAGGAAGGTTGAGGGCTCTTGACCAGCAACAGAGGCCACAGGCTGGACACACTGTTTCTCAGGGTGCATGGGGGGACTAGTTCCTGGGAGTCATCACGAATTTAAGGCAGGTGGAAGGGCAGAGGGGATGAAAAGTGAGGGGTAACAGAGTGGCTCTGAGGCATGCTCTCTGAGGGGATGAAATGATGGTACAGGTGGCCCATACACAAGAGTAGAGTTGAAAAAAAATCACAGAGCTCTACCTCAGCAAACATAAAGCAATTTAAGAAGCCTTCTTTGCTTGTTTACTTTAAACTCTATGAAGGAATAAATAAATAAATGATAGTCATACTTTGTAAAATTGCCTCTCTCATACCCACTTTTCTCTCTTCCCTCACAAATACTCATGCTTTTCTCCTTTCTCTTTCTCCCCTTCCTTCTCTCCCTCCATCAAAACCAAAATAATAACTGGAAAATATCCTTTCCACCCATGTCAGCCCACCTCTCCTCCCTTTTTCTCCCAAAGAGGAGTCACATGCTCCTCCATCACAATCTCCAGAGGGTGATAGAAAAACAACCAGAATCCTCTTTAGGAAGATCTAGGGCAGGTTATAGGTTAGCTACTTCTTTCCTGTTTCAGGCTTTTCTTTCTTACTCACAAACTATATTTTAAAAGAAAATGAGAGGAAAGAAAGTGTCCCAATGGGACAAGTGACTTGGTGGTGACCCCAGTGCCTTAAAACACAAAAGGCCTGGGTCTCCCTCTCCCAAGTCTAGAAGGGGGAGCTGGCCCTACCTGTCGATGCTGATAGCACAGAGGTTCAGGATGCTGGCTGTACACATCATAACGTCCATGGTGACGAACACATCGCAGCAAGCGCGGCTGAAATTCCACACTCCGCCTGTCACCTGGGCATCGGAGAGGAGGGTTCAGTGCTTCTGCAGGTAAGGGGCCCAGTCAACCCTGCCACCTTCCCTACTTCCCTTGCTCCATCCAGTGCTCTGCCCTCTCTCCTGAAAGGAGCATCCTCCTTACCAAGAGCAAGCAGACTGCAGGAGGGCAACAGGCCACCCATATGGTTCATAAGAAAGGACAATTTACAGAGTGTTAAAACATGAGTACCCAGAGGATCTGCCTCAGCAGTTAATCCAGTGTTTCTCAAAGTTTGGCCCCCTGGGGGACATGTGAGATGTAGACTTCAGAACTCTTCACTTGACCCACTGAGTCAAATCTCTGCATCTAGAGCCCATGAATCTCCATTTTCAAATAAACAACCCCATCTCACAAAGATTTGAGAATCACTGATCTAGTGGAAGCCCGGACGACCAGTCTAGCTCGCCTTGGGTACGTGATGCGCGTAGACGTGCAGCTGGTAGTGAAAGAGTGTGGGTGACTGCCAGACTGTGTGTGGCGCCAGCACTGACTCCCAGAAGCCTCCACCCAGCCGAAAGCCCAGTGTGCCCCCAGGAAATATGCTGGGAACACATTTTTCATAAAACTTACCTCAGAAATAAAAAATCTATCTGGTTTCTGGTTACAAAGCTTGGAAGAGTCCTAGAACAACATCCTCAAGAACCCATCAAAATAAGTCTGTGCCACGGGTGATTTGGTGATGGGAAGCCCACAGGGGTTACAACTGAGATGGGAAAAGGCACAAAATGTTGTAAAAATAAACTATTATATTATTAAAAAAAAAAAAGTCTGTGCTGTGCCCTCCCTTAGTGTGGGTTAAACCACAGCAGTAAGTAAGAGGTTAAAGCCACTTCAGCATGAGTTTGATCCCCACCCAGGGGATCCCCTCAGCAGTGTGCTTAGTCGGTCAGCCTGTTCTGCTCCCCACTCTGTCTCTGGTGAATCCTCTCACTGTCCCTGTGCCTCTGGCCTGTACCCCATTTCTGTATGCATAAGTAAATTTTAGAAAAAGACTGTGCCAATGTGCCAACTTTTGACATGTGAGCCCCAGTCACCAAGAGGTGGGGGAGAGGGTTGGGTCAGGCATCAGAAAGGGGTGCAGGTCCTCTCAAATGTCCAAAGGGTCAGTGAGGATGCCTCTGACCTCACCCAATCTAGATTGAGGTCACAATCTCAAGGTCCATAACTTCATCCAAGTAACAGTTATAAAAAGTCAGAGATTTAAGTAATTTATCTTAATGCATTTCTAGTTCATTTTTTATTTTTTAAAAGATTTATTTCATTACTTATGCATACAGAACTGGGTTCAGGCCAGAGGTGTGGGAGGGTGAGAGGATTCACCAGAGATAGCGCTGGGAGCAGAACAGCAGATTCGCTGAAGCACACTGCTGAGAGGAGCAGGTGTGGGTCAGCTGAGGTCTGCTGCATCATGTGGGCCATTCCCCTGGTGGGGGATCGAACTGCTGTAGTAGCTGCAGACAGCTTCATAATGCTGTGCCACCAAGGAGAGCCCCATTTCTAGTTTATTTATGAAGATGCTTATACTACCTACTTGGACCAGAATGGTGTCCACACACCCTTATCTTGGGCCTGGAGGCTTGGGGCATCTGCCAGTCCCTGCCTGTGGGACCTGCTCCCCAGGAGCACTGCCCAGGGAGCAGCCCGTGAGGCCCTGTGATGTTCATGGCTGTGGTGGTCATGAGCGCCCTATTGAGCAGGCCCAATGTCTAGTGACGAGGATGGGAGAGTGAAAAGTAGGTATAGTGGCCACTGAGGAAGCTTCCAAGGAAAAACAGACACTGTCCACACGATGGGGATTAAGGAAGTCTTGTTCCTCTCTTGCTTTTTCTCATCCAAGAATCTGGCTAGAAGACCAGGTCGTTTTCCTGCTTGCTCTTGTTTAATCGGATTAAAGCAAGGTCCCGAATGGCTTTCTCCCTTTCTCCTTCTGAAAACTTCTCTCCCTTTGGAGTTATTTCCTTTTCAGCACCTGCTTGTATCCTTATATTTGGTCATCGCAGGACTCTATTCGAGAATCTCTGACTAGAGGTTTCTGAGATGGGGAAAGGCACAAAATGTTGTAAAAATAAACAATGATGAAAAGATGGGAAAAGGCACAAAATGTTGTAAAAATAAGCAATGATGAAAAGCTCAAATGAGAGATGACATCATCACATTGGTTCATTTGGTTGTGGATCTACTTTCTCTCTTTTAGTTTAGCTATTTAGCTCTATATAAGTGATGGCCTAATATGAATTTATAGGAAATCCAAGAAATAGTTTTTGAAAGGGAGTGTATAATTATAATACAGTGATTTAAGGGAGCCTGGAGAATTAAAGACATTTTACTCAGTACACAGGCCACTATAAAAGCTTCTTGCAGAAGTTGAATTTTGTATGCTAATTCTCATTTTAATACATCTACTGTGCAATTTATTTCTTAAATTGGAGGAAAGACACTTTTTAAAACAATTGTGGGGTCCTCCCTGGTGGCACAGAGGATTAAAGCGCAGCATTGCGAAGCTGGCGGCCGCTGCTTCAGTGCGAGTTCCATCCTGGAAGTGATCCACATGGTGCTGCAGACCTCTCCTGTCCTGCCTGTTGCTCCCCTGTTCTGCTCCCCACTCTGTCTCCCCCTCTCACTGCCCCTGCACCTCTGGCCTGTACCCCAGTACTGTATGTGTAATAAATAAATCTTAAAAAAAATTAATGAATGCCTGTTTGTGTGTGTATATGTTGCATGGGGGGAATGGAGAGAAGAGAGGTTAGAAAAATAGGAGACTCTGTGCTTGCTGGGTGTTCATTTGTTCATTCATTCATAAAGACAGTACTTACGAAGCTCCTAAGAGTTCTTAGAAGGATGGTATGTTTTACAGTTTGAAAACTGTGGCTTAGGCCTTGTCCTTGATGAATCTTCAGTTGAAGAAGTAAGGCATTCTTAAATAAAATAACTAGCAATCATGAGATCTTAATATTGTTAATGCAATCTAACATTTATTAAAAACTTTCTCATGGCCCTCCCTGCTGGCGCAGCGGGTTAAAGCACAGCACTGAGAATCTAAAACCGCTTCCGCATGAGTTCGATTCCCGCCTGCCCTGGAGGTGACCACATGGCGTGGCAGACCTCTCCTGACCCGCCCGCTGCTCCCCTC